CCTTAGCCCTCAGGAAATAGAAGCATGAATCAGGTGAATTTCAAATCTGAAGTTCTGGCATTCCCTAAAGTTTCCAGAGGCCACGGTTCCAAGCTGTGGTGGAAAAGGAAGCGGAAGTCTGGGTTAAAAAGATGAAACTGATTGATGGTGATAGAAGTCAGGACAGTGGCTAATTCCAGGTCGGGGCTGGCTGTGGACCAGGAAGGAACTTCCCCGAGGACCTTCCAGAGTGCTGGAAACATTTACGTCTTGATCCGAGTGGTGTTCTGCTGGTAGACACAAATGTAGAAATTCACCCAGCTGTACGCTTAGCATTAGTGTTATTTATGTACTCTCCTGTAAAATCTTATACCTCAGTAATATTTTTAAAAGTTTATTACAAAAGGTGAGGGATGAGAAGTAGGTGGTAAGCTGGAGTGAGAGGCAGCATAAAGGGGCAACTGAAGGGGACCAACAAGCCCCGCATCGCCCTTACACCCGCAGCTATTGTGCCGGCCGTGTCTTACCCCGACTCCCCAGCACGGCGGGCACCTGTGGCTCAGAGGGTTGCCCATGTCTCCCAAGGTCACACAGGGAGAGGCAGAGCCAGGCTCAAACTGAGTGCAAAGCCCAGGCGTCTTTGCTCTACCTTTGCATAAGTTATGTATGGAATTCAGGCTCTGGAAGACTAGATAAACACGCAGCCCCTCCGAGGTCTCCTTCAGCACTGAGGTCCTAGTCGTGTGTGATTAAATGAGAGGTGGGTGTGAGGGGCCATGCGCACCTCCCAGAAGGAGCGGAGGCCAGGTGTACAGATGGAGGGCTGGCCTCCCTCCCTCTGCATCCCTTCCACCCAGCGCTTATCTGCTGGTGAGGAGGCCGGAGTTTATCAACGCTACACTCAATTATGCTGCCCATCTATCTCCGCAGCTCTGGGGGACCTGGCACTGAAGCTGCGAGGCCAGGCAATCCATCACCGCCAGCCGGCTCCTCCCTCCAGACCCCCGGCTCCCAGGGGTGGGGTGGAGGCGCCAGGGAGGGGAGAGGAGGGTGGAGGAGGACAGCAGAGGCTGCAGGAGCAGCAATTTAGATGTGGCAGCAGCACTGGGACTGGGCTGGGGGCAGGGCTGGAAAAGGAGGGAAAGGCAGCTCTGGCTCCTGGTAGCAGCTCCTCCAAATCTCTTCATTTAGGCTTTGCCAAGGGTCTTAGTATAATAATCAGCTCCACATTTTCTCCTAAATCGAGAGCAGCTTCCTGGAGGAGGTGAGTCCAATGGGGCTTACAGAGGCAGTTGTTCCAAGAGAAAACCCGCCCCAGCATGGGTAACATTGCTTCCCTCACTGTGGCCCCTGGGCTTTCCGAGCCCTGTCACTGAAGGCCGTGGCCAGCAGTGCTGGCAGAGAAAGCCGCCCCCAGCCCCCAGTCAGAAGGCAGGCTGGGGTCTGCGTGAGGCCTGCTGGCTCTGTTTGCCCTTGAGGTTCTAGGCCCAGCCACACTCACAGAGGAACAGTGTCTCCCCTTTGCTGTCCCTCCAGTAAGTCACGCTACAGCCTAGGAATGGTGTCTTAGGGGCCTGGCAGGTAGCCAGGGAGGAGGAGCTCAGGGCCCAGGCCATCTCTGAAGGAACTTGCACAGGGGCCTGGCATGCTGGGCCAGCCCTGCACTCTGCTCCTGTAAGGCAGGCCTTGATCCACCAGGTAGCGAGCATTGGCTGGACTGGAAGCTCAGGTTATGGAGTCAAAGACCTGGCTGAATCCTGCCTCCACCACGCAGAAGCTGTGCAACCTCTGACAAGTCACTGAACCTCTCAGAGCCTCAGTTGCTTCTCTGCAAAAGGAGATTAAATCCTTTCTCTGCTGACACGCAGGGTTGTGGGAAAATTACACGTTTCACTATTTGTATCCATTCACAAGTACCCTCTCGTGCACAGTCCTACACACCGCACTATGGGGACACAAGAAGCATGTAAGACGTGGCCCCTGCTGCTAGGAGCTTGAAATCCAGTTGGGGAGAATGCGCACGTGATAGCCTGAACTCCCGCTCACCCCGGGAGATTAGGGATGAAAGACAATTAGCTTTCTCTGAGCTCCCAGAAGAAACTGCTAATCAGCCTGCGTGAGTGGGCTGTGTGCAAGACAACCTTAAATGGTCATGGCAGGTGAGTGGGCAGCTCTGAATTCTACCCCGGGAGGGGCTGAACACTCAGCAATGAGGGGGGAGGACTTGTCCAGGCCTTTGCCAAGTCTTGGGATCAAAGGTGCATGAACATAAGTCATCAAGCCGCTGCCTCTCTCTGGGGGCTGAACCCCAGGCCTGGTCTCCTGGCAAGGGGCAGGAGCATTACCTCAGTCACCCATTCCAGACAGAGGCGGCAAGGAGGAGGGTGCTACCAGTGGTGCAGGGAAAGGCCATTCTCTGGAGGGTTTTAATTAAGTTTTAAATGGTCTCTCCATCAAAAACGTGTTAGAAAAAAGGTGTTGGAGGAGAGATGCCTGGGACTCAGGCAGGGTCCGACATGCTTGGGGACCAACTGAAACCCCTCTCCACCCACTCCAGCCTTGTCTCTGTTTGGGAATGGTTTTAGGTTCTCCTAAGCATGTTGCATTTTGGGTCCTGCCAGAGAGGCATTCTTTTAAGGTGTGACAAACGTATTATCTATTTCTGCTCACAGCTTCCCACTCCACAACCTGGGGAAAACACTGAGCCCACGGTGGGCAGGCTTCATGGATGCTTGTCAAGCTCTAGAATCCAACCTCTCTTCCCCCTAAGAAGTCTTAGTTGGAGGGCCTCCCAACCCCAGGGGATGAGTGGAGCTGGAAGGAAAGTAATATTTATTGAGCTCTTTCTGTGTGCGATACACTCAGTTCCTTTAATCCTGATGACAACTTCATGTATGCATAAGGAACAGACGTTCAAAGAAGTCAATAGCTGTTCCCAGGGTGCTCCAGTAGGAGGCTGTAAGTACGTAATAGTAAGATCTCCTTGCTGATGGGTTCTGCTCTTTTGTGCCAGGTCTAGGCAAGAGGTGGGAACCACTGGTCCTTCCGGAACTCAGCTTGTCCCTGCTGCCTCTCCACCCACATAGTACACCACAGAATTCCCTCCCTTGTTCCCCACTGCCCGTCATGGGCTTGGGTGGCCGGGAATGCACAGGTGCGTGTGTGTGCACATGAGTTCATTTGCCCTGAGTTTTATGCGTCAGTGCCCACACACTCCTACCCAAAACCTCTGTGCATTTTAAATCATGGTTGTTTTTCCCATCTTCAGAAATAGCTACAAAAGAAGGTGGGAGGTAGTCAGATGTAGACAGGCATGCCACTCTCCTGCTCAGGGAGGTACCACGCCTCCAGCTGCTACCCTCCCCGGCCCCAGGGTCCTGGAAGCAGGATGAAGTGGGCAGAGGGCTCCTCTGGCCAGCTGAGAGGTACCTGTCTGTAAGGTGGTAGGAGACACAGCCCCCAGCTTCCCAAAGCTCCCTAATAAGGAGTCATTGCCCCAGGAAACAAGAATGAGTACCCATTCTGCTGCCGGAGCCACCAGTGCACGCCAGGGTGCCTCGGGTGGACTCCGGCCAGACCTGGGAACCAAGAAGCGTGGCATAACCAGCATGAGCTCTGAACTCGTGTAGATTCCCGTCTCCTGTTGCTTACCAGCTGTGTGTCTTGAGTCAAATTCTTCAATCTCTTTCAAACCTCAATTTCTTCATCTGCAAACTGGAGGTATTAATACTTGTCTTATAGATTAGTTATGAAGGTTAAATCAGAAAAAGACATTCAGAGTCTTTGAAGAGTCCTGGCAAATTGCAGGTATTTAGCAAGTGTGCGTGCACTTCGCTAATGCCTGCAGGTGGAAAACTGCCCAAATCAGACCTCCGCAGAGGACTCAGACCAAGCCCAGGAAGCCCCCTGTCTTTCCCCATCTTGGTTCCAGGCCAAGGCTGGACTTGCCTCCAGGGCGATGCAGCCTGGCTGTGGGGTCTGAGAGAACCTGGGTTGGGAAGGAGGGAACAGCAAGACCAATGAGGACATGGTCTCCCCTACATGGGGAAGAATTTCCACGTGATGTGATCAGAGCTGTGACAGGGGGAAGCGTGGGGCCTTGTAAGATCATAACGCAGGGCCCTTAGCCAGCCAGGGGCGGGAGGTTGGGAGGAATTTTCCATACGAGGTGACTGACCTTAAATTGAGTGTTGAAGAGCAACTAGAGGTTGCTTGGGAGACAATGAAAAGGAGACATGAGAAGGGGGACACGTCAGGGCAACTTCAGCCTGAAAGGACTGTGCACAGTGGGTTAGTGGGATGGCAGCAAGAGAAGCCAGAAGTGGCTGGGGCCAGGTCACATAAGGTCTCACCTGCAGGACTAAGGAGCTCAGACCCAGATTTCTTAATCCCAACAACTGGCAGCTCGGCCAGGCTGAAGAGAAAGGGAAAGACCTGCCTCCAGGTAGGGAAGCTGGCCCAAACCCAAGCTGCACTCCACCCCAGGAGAACTTAAACCGACCCCAGGCAGGACCACTCCCCTCCCCAGCCTGCCTTTCATCTTCCACAGTCCTGTGAGCCACCCTGGAATTTGGAAGCTGCACTTGTTTTCACCATTCCCTGCCCATACCTCTCAGAGAGATGTCTGGAAACCATTGCTTTATTTTCCGTTTACTGAGGGAACCAAGGAGACGGGGAGGAGAGATGTAAGCAAGCTTGGAGAATCAACTCCGCATCTCTCTGGGCTCATAAGGACTCAAGATGACAGCAATCACAGCTTTCCCCTCTTCACACACCCACACCTTTCCCTGGTATTCTGGAAGCTTCTCATTCCAATCTCTTCCTCCTTCCATGAAGACTCACAGTACTTACTTCCTGTGTCAGGTCCTAGAAAAGGACACTAGAGCCTAGGGACTGTAGGACGGAACCAGGAGACCCACTGCACTCAGCTCTTTGGCCTCTTGAGTCAGGCAGGGGAGACGGCAGGAGGGACTAGGTTCTGCTTCTCTGCCACCTGCTTAACTCTGCCTTCTCTTCTCCAGGGCTGCCCCGCTGGGGCATGGCGATGAGTGAGCAGGCCCAGTGGACACGGATGGAGAGCCACACCCAGAAGGGCAAGAAGTGATGCCCACCCAGCCCCCATGACTGCCTTAGGAGGGGGGGTCCCCAGGCCTTGGCAGGCTGCTGACCCTCAGCCTACAAACTGCTAGAAGCAGAAGGACTTTAGACTTTTCCTGTGGATGGTCCCCTCCCCTGTGGCTCCACTATGAGGCTCCTCGTGGCACCCTTCTTGCTAGTGTGGGTGGCTGGTGCCACTGCCGCTGTGCCTGTGGTCCCCTGGCGTGTGCCCTGCCCCCCTCAGTGTGCCTGCCAGATCCGGCCCTGGTATACACCCCGCTCATCCTACCGTGAGGCCACTACTGTGGACTGCAATGACTTGTTCCTGACGGCCGTGCCCCCAGCACTGCCTGTGGGCACACAGACCCTGCTACTGCAGAGCAATGGCATTGTTCGCGTGGACCGGAGTGAGCTTGGCTATCTGGCCAACCTCACAGAACTGGACCTGTCCCAGAACAGCTTCTCAGACACGCGAGACTGTGATTTCCATGCCCTGCCCCAGTTGCTGAGCCTGCACCTGGAGGAGAACCAGTTGACCCGGCTGGAGGACCACAGCTTTGCAGGACTGGCCAGCCTGCAGGAGCTCTATCTCAACCACAACCAGCTGCACCGCATCGCCCCCCGGGCCTTCGCTGGTCTTGGCAACCTGCTGCGGCTGCACCTCAACTCCAACCTTCTGAGGGCTGTGGACAGCCGCTGGTTCGAGATGCTGCCCAACCTGGAGATCCTCATGATTGGGGGCAACAAGGTAGATGCCATCCTGGACATGAACTTCCGGCCCCTGGCCAACCTGCGCAGCCTGGTGCTAGCAGGCATGAACCTTCGGGACATCTCTGACTATGCCCTGGAGGGGCTACAAAGCCTGGAGAGCCTCTCCTTCTATGACAACCAGCTGGTCCGGGTGCCCAGGCGGGCACTGGAGCAGGTGCCCGGGCTCAAGTTTCTGGACCTGAACAAGAATCCACTCCAGCAGGTGGGGCCAGGGGACTTTGCCAACATGCTGCACCTCAAGGAGCTGGGGCTGAACAACATGGAGGAGCTGGTTTCCATTGACAAATTTGCCCTGGTCAACCTCCCGGAGCTGACCAAGCTGGACATCACCAACAACCCCCGGCTGTCCTTCATCCACCCCCGCGCCTTCCACCACCTGCCCCAGATGGAGACCCTCATGCTCAACAACAACGCGCTCAGTGCCTTGCACCGGCAGACAGTGGAGTCCCTGCCCAACCTACAGGAGGTGGGTCTTCATGGCAATCCCATCCGCTGTGACTGTGTCATCCGCTGGGCCAATGCCACCAGCACCCGTGTCCGCTTCATCGAACCTCAGTCCACCCTGTGTGCCGAGCCGCCAGACCTCCAGCGCCGCCCAGTCCGAGAGGTACCCTTCCGAGAGATGACAGACCACTGCCTGCCCCTCATCTCCCCCCGCAGCTTCCCCGCTATCCTCCATGTGGCCAGTGGAGAGAGCCTAGTGCTGCATTGCCGGGCACTGGCTGAACCAGAACCTGAGATCTACTGGGTCACTCCAGCCGGGGTTCGACTGACAGCTGCCCGTGCAGGCAGGAGATACCGGGTGTACCCTGAGGGGACCCTGGAGCTGCGAAGGGTGACAGTGGAAGAGGCCGGGCTCTATACCTGTGTGGCCCAGAACCTGGTGGGGGCCGATACTAAGACAGTCAGTGTGGTGGTGGGCCGGGCTCCCCTGCCGCTAGGCAGGGACAAGGGATGGGGGCTAGAGCTCCGGGTGCAGGAGACCCACCCCTATCACATCTTGCTATCTTGGGTCCCCCCACCCAACACCATCTCCACCAACCTCACCTGGTCCAGCGTCTCCTCCCTCCGGGGACAGGGGGCCACTGCTCTGGCCCGCCTTCCGCGGGGCACCCACAGCTACAACATCACCCGCCTGCTTCAGGCCACAGAGTACTGGGCCTGCCTGCAAGTGGCCTTCGCAGATGCCCACACCCAGTTGGCTTGTGTGTGGGCCAGGACTAAAGAGGCCACTCCTTGCCACAGAGCCTTAGGGGACCGACCTGGGCTCATAGCCGTCCTGGCTCTGGCTGTCCTCCTGCTGGCAGCTGGGCTAGCAGCCCACTTTGGCACTGGCCAGCCCACGCAGGGGCTGGGTGGGCGGCCTCTCCTCCCAGCCTGGGCTTTCTGGGGCTGGGGTGCCCCCTCGGTCCGAGTGGTGTCTGCACCCCTTGTCCTGCCCTGGAATCTGGGAAGGAAGCTGTCCACGTCCTTAGAAGGGGAGGCATTGTCACCACCATTGTCTCAAAATTCCTGGAGCTCAGCCTGTTCTCAGCAGTAGAGAAAAAACTAGGACTACTTTTTAACAAAAGGGAAGCAATCTGGGCCAGACGCCCTGCCAAGAAAGTGACATGGATCCACGTGCTTGAGGCCTGACCGCTGGACCAGGACAGACGGGGCTTTGTGGCCCCAGGGGCTGCTCCTGCAGCCTCCAAAACGTGGCCCTCGCCTTGTGGGGGCTCCTCTGCTGCCTTTTTGAGGGGTATCTGCAAGGGACAGAAGGACTCTGGCCAGAGCCTTCCACCTCCCAGTTGTCTACATGCCCAGAGGCTCCTGGGCCACCACCTGGATGTCCCCTGCCTGTGTCCCCAGGCCCTTGGCCCACAGGACATGCCCCCTCCTCTTCTTTTGCTCTGTACAGTCTCAGTTGCTTGCTCTTTCCCTTCCTGGGCAAGGGCAGAAGGCCTGTCCTCCGATCTTGGGGGCTGCTCCTGGAGTGGACCCCAGCCTGCTCTGAGGGACTTTTGGGAAGAGGCCGCCCAGGACCGCCCCGTCTTGGGAGCCCAGTTGGCACTCTGAGGTTGACTTTGTATAGGCAATTTTGTACGTTTGTGGAGAAATGTGTCACCTCCCCGCAACCCAATTCACTCTTTTCTCCTGTTTTATAAAAAAATAAAACTAAATAAGAAAAACATAACAAGGGAGAAAGGAAACAAAAGGAAAATAGTCCTTTGACTACTCAGTATAAACTCAGAGCTCCCTGCTCTGGACCCCTTTAAAGCCTAGAGAGGGTGACTGAGGGAGGGGCTGGGTGGAAGAGGAGGAAGGAAAGGAGGGGAAATGGCAAAGGAAGGCACAGGTTTTCCCTGTAGGTTTGCATGCTGGCCTCTCCCAGACCATCCCTGTAACTGTGAGCTGGGGGGGGAGAGGGGCAAAGGGCAGGGGAGGCTGACGAGAGAGGGAGAAAGCACAGGAGGCAAGGAGAAGGGTGGGGGGAGAAAAAGCCAGAGATGGAGGGAGTGGAAATTTCCATCACCAAACATTGTCACCCCTTCTCATTCTCTGATAAGCAATTAACATGCCAGTGCATAAGAAGCACTTTCCAGGCCTATTTCTAATTAAACAAACCCAAGAGGCAGAGTCATGCAGAGAATTGCAAATCATCAAGACAGCAAGAACTTGGGCTCACTGGGTAGGAGGCAGTGTGGGGCGATAGAGGATTTGGGGAGGGAAGGGCTGTGGGACAAAGAAATCGCCGCATTTATCTTTCCGGTCTATTTCAGTATAATTTGCAATGAGCCTGGTTTGCTTTTACAGTGTTTTTTGTTTTGTTTTGTTTTTTATAAAAAAAAAAAAAAGATTGACTTCCAAGGCCCAAGTGTGGAGGGGACATCTGTTGAAAAGGCAACAGAGGCAAGGGGAGGGCTGCTCTGGCCAGGGAATGGGGCAGCTCCGGGGCAAGAAGCCCCTGGCCACAGAGCTTGTTTCTCAGGCAGGCTTGGGGGAGTCAGAGGCTCCTGAGACTGAAAAGAAGCAACATGTGAGCCCGAGGACCCCTGTTGTACAAGACACATTCAGCAGACTCTAAGCTACCTTTGAGAGTCAGATATATACACTGGTAGAAGCCAGACTAGTAGATGAGCATCAGGCCCCACGGGACCTTGAAAGTGCACACTCACCCAAGCCAGACGTAGTGCCTTTCTCTCATGAGACAGGAGAACAGGGTTCTCTGAAGACTTTTCCAAATACCAGCTTAGAAGCCTTCTGCCTCTTAGGCAGCTCCACCCCATGACTTGCTGAACATGGATGGCTGGGCCCACCCCCAGAGTTTCTGATCTAGATCTAGGCAGGACCTGAGAATTTGCATTTCTAACTAGTCTTCAGGTGATGCTGTTGTTGCTGGTCTGGGGACCACACTCTGGGAACCTCGCAGCTGCAGCCTGTGGTAGCCAGAATGTTTCGTTCCTGCTTCAGGCCCCAGGATAGAGCTGGGGAAGGAGCTGGAGGATGGTCCCTCCACTCCTCCCCACTACACTGGTGGGCTGCTCAGGTCAGCAGGCTCCGTTCACATGTGCTCTTTCCTGTGCTCTTTGTGATGTGTTCTTTGGTGGGCGGGGCTGGCCAAGCAGAGACACTCCCCTTTCCAGCACCCATGGCTGACACTCCTAAAGCCTCCACGTGCTGTTTCCTGATGAACTTCGGGACCTCCACGGCTATGTGCTGGGCAGCTCTGCCAACTGACCAGAGCTGGCCTGGGGATCTAGCCTATTGGCCATCTGTCAGGGTTGGATCCATCCTCTTGTGATTCAGAAGGTCTGTGGAGAAGAGGCAGGCAGGGCCTTTGCAGATCATGGCAAACTAGAGCCAGAAGTCAATGCCTCTCCTTCCCTCTAGGACAATTGGCAGCTGCTGCCTTTCCAGATGGACCCACATGGCACAGAGATTCGAGATGCTGTTCCCTTATATAAGCACCCAGAACCCTAGAAAGCCTGTGGAGCTCCACGGTGCCCTCCCATCAGCACTTCTGCTGCTGCCTCCACAGCCTCCCTGGAGCCCTGGGCCCATCAGAGCAACCTGGAAAGTGAGCAGCGCAGCTAGAGGCTAAGGGCCTCAGATCCCGCAAGCTCAGAACACTCCAAATGTGCCTGGGCTTGGAAGGTGGGAGACCTCTTCACTGCCTGCCTTTCCCTCAGACCCAGCTACAGACAGGAAGCCCTGGGCCAGGTCGGGGTGGGGCCTGGGGAGAAGGGGTGCCATTCTGGCTGCACTGGAGCTCTCAGCTGCTTGAGACCTTGAAAATGAATCCCTTTTTCTGAGGAGAAAAGGCAGTTTTGGTGATTTAACCGTTTCTCAACTGAGTCCCACATCCTCAGCACCTTGGCTACCCTGAGAAGTTAGGTGAGCTGGGGAGAGAATGCAAATGAGTGGCCTTGTTTCTCCTGGAAGGGGATGACATTGCAGGGACACGGCGAATTAGGGAGACGGAGAGAAAGGCACTTTGTGGGTTGCTGTGTCCTAGAATAGCTAGAAACAGAGCCAATGAGAGTGAGCAGCCTCTGCCTGGTACAGAGCTGGGCATGTGGCTCAGGCGCATTCCAAGCAGGCAGAGGACAGTGACACCATGCCTCGTATGGCTATTAACAGGCCTACGTGGCATTTGAAGTCTTAGCTTTCACACTAGACTGAGCGTGTAGGCTAAAAATCCTGCATTGAAAACAAACAAAATAGCAGTTTACCTGGTCTCTTCTGCACATTGACAATTCCTTTTTTTTTTAACCCTAAATAGAAAGCAATATTTATTTCTGTTTAAATTTTAAATTGTTATGTAAGACCTGTCATGTCAGTCTATTCAGACGATTTCCAATCCTGGCCTGACTGTTGAACGGATTAGCTTCCCTCCCTAGAGCATGCTGCTGCTCGGCTCTCCTGCCTTCTGTGTCCTCATCCGTGGCTCAGAGAGATCGTGGAGTAGACGTGGGCAGACACGTTGTGTGGCTCACCGCAACAGCCTCCCCACCTGCCTGACACAGGTCCATCAGTCAACACATCCGGCGTGGCCTCTCTGACAACTGCAAACCACTTAAACATACTGTCCTGCAGCTAACATTTCTGAATCTCCCACAAGGCTGACTTTGTGGGAGTCAGGGTCAAAATGAGGGAATAGTGAGTTTGTGGCATCACTGGGAGCTATCAGTCTAGTCCCTTATCACAGAAGTAAATGAGGTTGGCTAATCCAGTGTAGGACGGCCAATTGAGATGTTCCTGGTCTTAGCACTGGAAGTCCCTTATTTTAGGAACTCTCAGTCTTGGTCAAACTGAGATGGTTGGTCACCCTAGTCTAGTGAACTCTTTTTAAGTGTAGCAAGCCATCTTCCTTCCTCCCTTCCTCCTCCCTCCCAATCACAAATATTTCATGACTATGTAGTAGGTACAGTTCTAGGAAATGAGAATCAGATGAAACTCTCTGAGCCCAACCTTGCATTTTAGTGAGGGTAGCAAGCTGATGAACAGGACCAATAAGTAAGAATATATAGTATGTTGGATGGTAATGAGTGCTATGGAGAAAAAAACAAGTCAGGGGGGAAAGAGGATGAGGGAAGAAATGAGGACTTATGCAGGGTGCTCGGCACGTTGTTGAGAAGGTGACATTTGGGGGAAGAGTGATCGAGGCCAAAAGAATAGCATGGGCGAAGGCCAAGAGCAAGAGACTAGTGTGACCGGAGCAAGAGAGGCGGGGGAAGAGTGGCCATGAGACCTTGGTCAAAGAAGTAGCTGGGCAATTGCATTGAGCTTTGTAGGTCACTGGAAGGACTTGGGTTTTTCTTTCCAATTAAGAGGAAGAGCAACTGGAGGGTGCTGAGCAGACATGGCATGATTTGACTTAAGGAGAACCCTCTGGTTGCTAGACTGAGAACAGCAAGAACAGCATGGGGGTGTGGAGTGGTCAGGGCAGAAGCAGAAAGGCCAGTTAGGAGTCCCCTGCAATAATCATCTCCATTTAAACATTGCTTCTAGAACTTTGCCAGGGATGCATACCAAGTATATCTCGGTATTTTCTGAACTATCCTTTCCCCTATTTTTGAAAATCAAAACACATTTACTCTTTCACAGGCTCCTGACCTCTCTGCCTTTCCCCCATGAATCTTCAAAAGTAGCCCGTGGCCTGTCAGTGCCCTACCCCATAACAGAGAGACTGGAAATCATTCAAGGTAGTGAGGAATGAGCTTCACTGACCATCAATTCCATCTTTGTGTTTGTCATTCAAGGACATCATTCCAAGGGCGAGACAGCAGTGACAGGAGGAGTGTCCATCCTGCCCTTCCTCTGCCACCATTGACAATACTTTGGCTGTGCTGGGCCTGAGGTCTACCTTCCTTCTTGATGATTTTACTAAAAGGACACTTGTATGTTCCTCATGAGTTTCACAAGGATCAGGTCTCCTCTCTTTAACCTTCCTGGTATGGTTCTTACCCATTTGTGCTTTCCTTTTGCAGTTACCCTTCGATCAACACCATCTCCATGTATTTTATTATTAATTTTTTTTTATCCTCACCCAAGGACACTTTTTCATTGCTTCTAGAAAAAGAAGAAGGGGGAGGAAAAGAGAGAAAAATCAGTATGAGGGAGAAACATCGACTGGTTGCCTCTCATAGGCTCCCCAACTGGGAATCAAACCCTCAACCCAGGTATGTGCCCTGACCAGAAATTGAACCTGAGACCTTTTGGAGCACAGGATGATGCTCCAACCAACTGAGCCACACGAGCCAGGGCTCCTTGTATTTTTTATAGACTTGAAATAATGGCTAACACTGAGCATTTACTATGTGCTAAACATTCTAGTACAGATTTCACACTTTCTTTTCATTGACAGCCACCTTATAAAGTAGACACTACCATTATCCCCATTTTACAAATTTAGATATCAGAGCTCAGAAAGGCTAAATGAATTATCCATGGTCACACAGCTAGTTGGTGGCAGAGTCAGGATTCAAATGCTTGTCTGATTCCAAAGGCTGCTTCTTAACCACCCTGCTCCACTAGATTCAAATTCATATGCTTTAAAAGTATGACAATAGTTTTTTGAGAACAGAAGAACTTCTAAAATCTGTGTGCAGATTTTAGCTCCCTGTGTGGCCACTTTTATTTTTA